TCCACCACCTCCCCCAGCCCGGCCAGGTGCTGTGGCTCTCCCTCTCCCTTCCCACCTCCTGGGTTCCTGAGGTGTCGTCTGCTCGTGGCTGACCGTTGTTTCCGGGCCGGCTGCTGGGTAGGTTTGCCGCGGTGTCCCCTGCCCGGAACGTCCCCTGCCCGGGACGTCCCCTCGATGGGTGTCCGCTCGACGTCCGGTAGTTCCTGGCCGCGGCCCGTTTGTGAGGGGAGTTGAAAACCTTGGCAGAACAAAACACAAGATGGGGCTGTCAGAAGCCTTCAGCCACGGTCCAGCCAGTGACAGTAACTGGGATAAACATGGGTTCTTTGAGGCGGCGTGGATTCTTGACCGCGATAACTGGGTGCCGATAACTGGGCGCCGCTCTCGCCTCTGCCATTCACCGGCTACGTGAGCGTGGGAGAGCGGCGGCCTCTCTGTGCGCCACCCCAGGGCTCGGTCAACAAAATTAGTATAACACTACCGGCCTAGTGCAGTTGTAGTGAGGAAGAAATCTGACGTGTATAAAGTCCCTGGAAGTCCCTAGAAGGATACCCGGTGTTAAAAGAAATTTCAGGGAGCCTTACTTGATACGAATATTTTTTTTTGAAGGAGAAACAAGGCGCTCAGAGACAGGTAGTTAGGATGGCTTATAAAGTGAGAGTGAGGAAGCTGTTCAAACTTCAGGATGGTTTTTACAATGCAGTGAGACACGGGATTGAATAAAAGTGATATACTGTTTCATTCATTTTAAGTTTATTTTTACTTATTTTTAAAATATGTTTTATTTGTTTATTTTTAGAGGGTAAGGGAAGGAGAAACAGTGGAAGAGAAACATCAATGCGTGGTTGCCTCTCATGTGTCCCCAACTGGGGACCTGGCCTGCAACCCAGGCAGGCATGTGCCCTGACTGGGAATCGAACCAGCGACCCTTTGCTTCACAGGCCCGCGCTCAATCCACTGAGCTACACCAGCCAGGCCTTTAATTTATTTTTAGAAAGCAGGGAAAGGAAGGGAAGGAGAAAGAGATGAAGAGAAACATTGATGTTAGAGAGAAACATCTTGGAATAGAATCAGTGACCTTTCACCTTATGGAAGGATGCCCAACTAAGCCACAGGGCTAATAAACTAGGTTCTGATGTGTGCAGCACATTGTCTTCTTTTGGAGGGGAATCACAGAACCTTTTTGGACCTAGTGAAAATAAGCCTTTCAGTATTGCATTAGTGCCTATCATGTTGAACTATGTCATGATTACTTAGGATAAACATGAGGATGACTTATTTCAATAGGAGGCAGTGTTAGCAGTAAGTTCCCATTTAAGTTAGGCCTTTACATGGTATAAGCAATTAGGTATTTAATAAAAAAGAACTTCTATGAAACAAAAAAAGGACAAAGATTAATAGTTAGTGCAATTATAAACTCAGATCCAGAGTTGAGAGCAGCCAGTCAAGAAAATTTCTGAATTTGAGCTTGAATCTTTTAAGTAATAGAATGAGGATGACAATTTTAATCTGCTGGATTTTCCTGATTTGCAGTTTGAATGTCTTTGATGATGTCAGGTGTTCTGGTGAGCTTTCTGAGTGGTCCACACAGAAGTAGATATGAATATTATTTACACTCAATCTGTTGTGGTCTCAGCTCTGCCATTATAGTGTGAAAGCAGCTATAGACATGGCTGTGTTCAAAGAAAACTATTTACAAACACAGGCAATAGGCTGGATTTGGCTGATGGGCCAGAGTTTTCTTAGCCCTGGTCTAACATAAGGATAACAGCTTTCACATTGCTCTGATCAGCCCATACTGCAGTCTCATTGTATCTTCCAAAATTCTGATTCAGCTGGACACCCATTGAATACCATCAGCTTTCAACTGGGTGTTCCCTTTCAGACATTTAGGGAAACTTCTGTGAATCAAGGGCCCTACTGAGCCAATGGCTTTGCTTCAGGTGGTACGAGTGGTAGATAAAGTGCCCCCCAAAGCTGTTACTTTTCCACAAAAAGCAAAGATCCCTCTAGAGCCAGGCCAACTGTGATTAAAAAAAATTTGTAACATTAATCATATTTGTTTCAGGTGTACAACATAGTGACTTGACACCTGTATACCTTACAAAGTGACCACCACGAAAAATCTAATAACTGTCAATGTACAAAGTTATTACTATAGTATTGACTATATTCCCTATGCTATACATTACATCCCTATGACTTACTGATTTTATAACTAGAAGTTCGTACCTCAATCCTCTTCACCTTTTTGTCCTTCCTTTTACTAACCCCCCCTTTGGTAACTACCAGTTCTCTATCTCTGAGTCTGTTTCTGTTTTTATGTGTTTGTTCATTTCCTGTTTTTTAAATTCTACATAGAGGTGAAATCATAGAGTATTTGACTTATTTCACTTAGCATAATACCATCCATGTTGTCCCATAGATGAGTAAATATTACATTGTGTGTATATATGTATGTATGTATGTATATATATATGTGTATGCTGTATCTTATATATCCATTTACCAATGGACAACTAGGTTGTTTCCATATCTTACCTTTTGTAAATAATCCTGCAGTGAACATGGGGGTGCATATATGTTTTCAAAAGAGTGTTACTATTTTCTCTGAATAAATACCCAGAAATAAAATTGCTGGGTTGTATTGTAGTTCTGTTTTTAATTTTTTTCTATAGTGGCCATACCAGTTTATCAACTTGAATATACCATTTCCATATGATCAGCAAGTCCTTTAGGTCCTTCTCATATCAGTTACAGAGTCTAAGTTGGTCCATGTCAAATTAAGGATATCAGGTCATATAGTCAATCAGAAGATCTCATTCTCAGGCATTCAACAAGAGCTTATTAACAGGTTAATAGCTGCCTTAAAAAATATGTGGTAGCAGCTGCATCAGGCTGGTAGTAATGTTATATAGGCATACCTCATTTCATTGCCCTCTATTTTATTGTTCTTTGCAGTTTTTACAAATCAAAGGTTTGTGACACCCCTTTGCTGAGCAAGTCTGTCAGTGCCATTTTCCCAACATTTTCTCACTTCGTGTTTCTGTGTCACATTTTGTTCAAACTCACAATATTTCAAATTTTATTATTATTATATTTATCATGGTGATCTATGATATTTGATGATACTATTGTAATTGTTTGGGTCCTTGACAAACCACATCCAGATAAGACGGCAAACTTGATTGATAAATGTGTGTAGTCTGACTGTTCCACTAACTAGCTGGTCCCCCTTCTCTTTCCCTCTCCCTGGGCCTCCCTATTTCTTGAGACCCAGTAGTATTGACATTAGGCCAGTTAATAATCCTCTAGTGGCCTCTAAGTGTTCAAGTGAAAGGAAAAGTTACATGTCTCACTTTAAATCAAAAACTAGAAATGATTAAGCTTAGTGAGAAAGGCATGTCAAGAGCCAAGATAGGTCAAAAGCTAGGCCTCTTGCTCCAAACAGCCAAGTTGTGAATCCAAAGGAAACATTCTTGAATGAAATTTAAAGTGCTACTCCAGTGAATACATGAATGCAAAGAGAGTGAAACAGCCTTATTGCTGGATGGAGAAAGTTTTAGTGGTCTGGCTAGAAGATTAAGACAGCTACAACATTCCCCTACACCAAAGCTAATCTAGAGCAAGGCTATAACTCTCTTTAATTTTATGGAGGCTGAGAGAGGTCAGAAACCTGCAGAAGGAAAGTTTGAGACTAGCAGATGTTGGTTCATGGGGCTTAAGGAGAGAAGCCAAATCCATACAAGGTAAAGCAGCAAATGCTAATGTAGAAGCTACAGCAAGTTATCTAGAACACCTAGCTAAGATAATTAATGAAGGTGGCTACACTAAACAACAAATTTTCAATGTAGGCAAAACAGCCTTCTATGGAAGAAAATGTCATTTAGGACTTTCATGGTTACAGAGGAGAAATCAATGCCTGCCTCCAATGCTTCAAAGGACAAGTTGACTCTTTTGTTAGAGGCTAATGCAAATGGTGCTTCCAAGTAAAAGCCCCTGCTCATTTACCATTCCAAAAATCCTAGGGTCCTTGAGGATTATGTTCAGTTTTCTCTGCCTGTGCTCAATAAATGGAACAACAAAGCCTGGATGACAGCACATCTGTTTACAACGTGGTTTATCAAATATTTTAAACGCACTGTTGAAACCTACTGCTCAGGAAAAGAAAGTCCTTTTGAAATATTACTGCACATTGACAGTGTACCTGGTCACCCAAATTCTGTGATGGAGATGTACATGAGATTAATGTTGTTTCATGCCTGGTAACACAACATCCATTCTGCAGCCCATGGGTTAGGAGTAATTTAGACTCTCAAGTCTTATTTAAGAAATACATTTTGTAAGGCTATAGCTGCCGTAGATAGTGATGGTAGATGGTAAATTATACATGGATCTGGGCAGAGTAAGTTGAAAACCTTCTGGAAAGGATTCACCATTCTAAATCTATTCATGATTTGTGAGAAGTCAAAATATCAACAACAGGAGTTTGGAAGTTTATGGATGACTTCAAGGGGTTCAAGACTTTGGTGGTGGCAATAACTGCAGTGGGGTAGAAATAGCAAGAGAACTAGAATTTTTATTTATTTATGCATATATTTATTTTTGAGAGACAGAGAGAAACATCGATATGAGAGAAACATTAATTCTTTTCCTCCCACACACATCCTGACCAGAGATCAAATCCACAACCCAGGTATGTGCCCCTACTAGGGATGAAACCCATAGTTTTTTGGTGCATGTGACAAATGCTCCAACCAGCGGAGCCTCCTAGCCAGGGCAAGAGAACTAAGATTTTAAGTGGAATCTGAAGATATGACTGAATCGCTGCAATCTCATTAAAAATAACTTCTACAGATGAGGATTTGCTTCATATGGAAGAGCAAAGAAAATAGGCATTGAGATGCCTATTTGAGATGGCATTGACTCCTGGTGAAGATGCAGTGAAGATTACTGAAATGCACATTTTTTTTTTAATTTTAAGGAATTACCTATGCTCACTGCTTCAGCAGCACATATACTAAAATTGGAATGATACATAGAAGATTAGCATGACCTCTGCACAAGAATGACATGCAAATTCATGAAGTGTTGCATATTTTAAAAGAAAGAAATAACTCGCTGAAGCCACCTCAGTCTTTAGTGACCGCCACCCTGAGCAGTCAGCAGCCATCAACATCAAAGCAAAACCCTTCAGCAGCAAAAAAAAAAGTTACAGTCCACTGAAGGCCCAGATGATGGTTAGTGTTTCTTTTAACAATAAGGTACTTTTATACTAAGGTGCGTAAATTTTTAGACATAATATTACTGCACAGTTAATAAACTACATTATAGTATAAAGTTTTATATGCACCGAGAAACCAACAAAATTCATGTGACTCACTTTATTGCAATATTCATTCTATTGTGGTGGTCTGGAACTGAGCCTGCAATATCCGCAGGGTTTGCCTGTACTTGAAAAAGGCTTCTCTGAATGCTCTGGTAGCTTTAAAGTTTTTAAAGCTGTGATTTCTCTTTCTCTTCTGATTCTATATTGTTTCTGCTGTACTCTTCAGCAGAGGACAGAGAGGTAAGTAGGTGAGGAAGCTACTTACATGTTCCATATTACACCTCTACATGTGACTGTTCTAAACAGGAGAATCAGCTCTGATGCTTATGTACTAGGGAAATATAACCATGTAACACATTTATATCAATTATACATGCAGTAGCATAAGCTGCATAACAATTTATTGATAGAACCAAAGGGCTCCACCCATAAGATCACTTTAGCTTCTCTTCCTCACTGAGAACTTTACCCAAACTCCATCAGTTGAATTTGGGTGCCTTTTCAGGTGCCTTTCTCTGATACCGAAGGTATCAGAGACCAGAAGCTTTTTAAAAAGATTTTATTTATTTTTTTAGAGAGGAGAAGGGAGGGAGAAAGAAAGAAAGAGAAACACTGATGTGCAAGAGAAACAGCAATTGGTCACCTCTAGCATGCCCCAGCTAGGGACCTGGCCCACAACCCAGGTATGTACCCTGACTGGGAATGAGATCTGCGACCTTTTGGTTCACAGACTGTCGGTGACCTCACTCAGCCACACAAGCCAGGGCAGAGACCAGAAGCTTAATGTGTAAGTCATGAATTACAGCAATAGTCAACAGGAGACTGTTATTCCATGGCTATCAGTGTGAGGAGTGCAGAGTGGTCGGAGAAGCTAGCTCACAGGGAATCTTTGGAATGTCGAGGCTGCCTTTTTTCTCCCTTGGCTGCCTAGTCTATAATTGGTACCACAGCATAGGCACTGCTTCCTCCTCTGGGTACCTCCCAGGGATCATTCCAGCTCAGAGGTCCCTTTCTTTATGCTCCACTGGATACCACTGCATTTTATCTTACAGTCCTTGGTAATGTTGGCCATCTTTATGCTCAGCACACCATGATCCTCACCAGTAACAATGGACTGTGGTAGGAGCAAGATACACAAGCAGCTGGCTTTGCACTATTTGGCAAGGATTTGTTATTTCCTTATGTGTTTATTATTTCCACAGGCTGTTCCCTGTGGCTCAACAAGATAAACTTCTAATGGTTTTGATTCACACAAAACTGTCAAATAGCAAGATCCTCACTACTGACACCATTTATTTCAGCTTACTTCAGAAGCCACAATGATGTTGCCATTTAACTAAAGCCACAGAGTTTGCTGCCCTAATTGTCATAATAACATTCCTTCCTCGTCTCATATAGAGGAGAGTGAGCAACAACCAAACACCACTCAGGTGGCTTATTTCAATCCTATTTCTCATCACTCAGCCGTATCAACACGGAGGACAGTGGACAACTCTTACTCCTTTTGCATTTACCCACCAGTGGGGTGAGAGCATTTGCTTCCAAACCTCAGAGAGTCTTCTCGTATCCCCAAATCTTCCTGACAGGACTTTTCCCCTTCCTTTTCTATAAAGCTATGTTTTGGTCAGCATCCAATTTCATTACCAAACTGTCAGATCTAGGGTTTGATTTTACTTCACTTACATACTAACAAATTAGACTGCTACTGTGTCATGGATGCTAGCAGAAGACACTAGATTCCTGGGCTAGAGACAAAGGACTTTGTTACAGTATAGTAAGTAGCATGAGCATTAACATGTTTGCCTCTGTTCCCCTTCCCTAAATCCCATGGGGGTTACACAGAGGTCTCAGGTGGATGCTTGCAGCATATCTGTGGGTGCATTACAGAAAAGGAACACAGAGCTTGGATAATATACTGTTTTATAGCAAACAATATGCATACTTGCTCTTTGTCCTGGAGGAAGACAACACCTAATCTCTCAGAATTGCTTGTTGCAAACACAACCAACCTGAGAAATGACCGAAACAAAGAGCAATCAGGGCCTTTCATTTGTGGCATACTCACAGAAATGTGAAAGACCTAACTGTGACCAAAAGGCAAAATCTGGGAAATTATCTCACTTCAGTTTTTAACCCAGTTTAACAATTTATAGGGTTTTTAAAATATACATCAGTATGTCTCTCCCCCATGCCTCCCTCCCTCCCTCTCTCTCTCTTTCACATATACACACACAAACACATCCTTTCCAAAAATTGTTTAGAACCTTAATGAGATGGAAGAACTTTGTACTCAAAAGTCAGCAAACTTAAAATGACCATTTGAAAAGAAATTGAGTATGTATTTGAAATAAAAGGAATCACAGCATTTCCTATTAATGGGATTCAGATTTCTGTTAAATGGATGAGAAGGTTGATGATATTTGGAAGACTTATAAAATGGCAGAATGAGAAAGTTCTATGAACCTGCTCCCCAGTAAAATAAGCATGAAGTTGAAAGTTACAAAACAAAAATTACCACTTTACCTCTCTGGAAATCCTCCTGAGAGCATGCAGCAAATAAAGAAACATTCATTCAGGATAATCGATTAAAATTCAGAACAGTGAGACTCTGGCATTTCAACTATACCTGCTCCCGCCCTGCAGCACCTCCCCCACCCCAACTTGACTGGAAACTTCACTCCAGGTGAGTGTACTTCAGATAATGAGGCTACCTCTCCTCTAAGTTCCCAGTTGAAACGGTTCAATGTCTTCCTGAGAAGGGCAGGATGCCAGTGCTTCTCATCATCTCCCACCCCAGGTACATTTTCTCAGGCTAAATTTTAGTTAAGTATGGCTAAGAGGTTGGGGGTGGAGGGTGCTACTTCCACCTACCCCACACTCATAGGGCAGAGGCATATCTCAGCATGTTATCCTGAGTATACTTGAGGTCTTAGTTTCCCTCATCTGAGCTCACTCATGGGTGAAGTTCCCATCCTAGGAGAGGCAAGCCAAGACCAGAGGTTATTGCTCAACATCCTGCTCCTAAACCAGGGTGTCACTCACAGAGAAGCAGTCATTATCTATTAAGGTGGTCAGTGACACGGGCTGTGAAAGAATTCACAAAGAGAAGAAATTATAGAGAGTAAAGTTTTTATTCACTCTCCAAGAAAGGAGAGGGATGTGGTGTGGAGAGATATGCCAGCCTGGAGAAGTAGGGGCTTTGAGCTTTTATTGTATTATAACTGGATTATAAAAGGGTGGTGGTTGCTATTGTAAGGCCCCTGGGCTATTGAGAGTATTGTAACAAGAGGCTGCAGTTTGTTTTCTTTTGCCTGTGGCTGTAGAGAGTGGTTAGTCACATTCTGTTCTTGCTTTTCAGTAATTTCCAGTCCTGGGGATAAAAGCTCAGAGGGGTAAAATGGCAGTCATGTTTACCAAGGTTATAGGCCTGCTAGGCAAATGGTGCCAGGACTTTATTCTTTCATTATCCCTGTACTCAGCTCTGAGATTGTGGCTCAGAGCTTTTTTTTCCAGAGGGAGAAGCTGGCTGCAAAACAAAATACCAAAGCTCCCAAGAAACTGACTTTATTTGAACAGAGGGTGGGTGAAGTTCAAGCCTAAGAGCACACAGAAAATCAATGGAGATTTTGGCATTAAGTAATTGCAAAGAAACTGATAGCTTCATGTGAGATACAAGATAAACATAGGCCAACAAGTTTATTAGAGAAAACCTAGGAAAGAGACATCTTACAAGAGTCTGCCTGGAGTCAGAACAAACCTTAGAAAGTAACACTGCAAAGGAGTCCAAAGTGAATTAGATGACATTGTGGAACAATTTTTGCTCCAGGCATTGTTGAAAACATTAGAGCAATCTGCAATAAGTGAATGCTAACAGTTGGCTTAACAAAATAATGAAAGAAAGAGATAGTCAAAGAGAGCCCTGCCAGAATCACAGTCATTCCAGCGTGACAGTACTTACATCCAAGGCTATGCATCACAATACAAACAACACAAGAATACTGCAAAACTACTTGTGCAGAAAGAAGAGTTAACAATCAAAACTTACAAGGCATGAAAAAAAGGCAAGAAAAAAATAGCATGAAAGAGACTCAACGGAATAAGAGAATTGATTTTAGGGACAGTGGATGATAAAACAATTTGAAAGATATTTTAAAACAAATAGAAATGTTAAACCACACCTAAAACAAAAGCAAATTAAGAGGACAGCTAGATCAGGAGTGAACCATAGAAATGAAGATCACGTGGAGGGTTAGCAACAGGGGAGTGGGAGAAGGAGAAGAGGGGAGAAGGCACAGAAAATAAGTAGCATAGACAGTAGATAGAAAATAGATAGGGGGGAGGGTAAGAATAGTAGGGGAAATACAGAATCTAAAGAACGTGAGGCACGTGTTCATGAACTAAAGGGGGGGAATGGTGGGGGAGGGGTGTGTAGGGTGGAGGAGAACGGAGGGGGGGAATAGAGCAAATGTAATAGCATAATCGATAAAAAGGAAGGAAAAAAATTATAAACCCCTTGCAAAAAAAGTTAAAAAACAAAGGAATAGTTATTTTTTAGGGAAGAACACAAATAAAAGAAGATTTAAAAAAATTAGAAGCCCTATGAAGAAAAAATACAGTTTTTCAAATAATATGTAAATTACCTTGTATGTCTCATAATGGATCATAGACTGGACTTTGATACATCCTATCTATCTAAAATAAGACCTACTGGTTCCCCTTTCTTTTATACTTACGCATATATGATAAGATGAGTCTGGGATGCTGGCGGTAACAT